GGACTTTTAGGTGTGAAAACACCCAAAGACTCTGATCTGAAATACATTAGCATTTAAACCATCAGTACACCAATGACTGCGGGTTCAGTGTTGCTTCAAACCCAAATTCTGTTATTTTACACATTATATCCTGAGAGAGGAGAGGAAACACCAGAGGAAACATGATGAGAGAGGAAACAGGAGAGGGAAAAAGAAAGGAAATAGGAGAGGAAACAAAAGAGGACACAAAAAAGGAGAGAGGAAACGGGAGAAAAAAGATGAAACAAGAGAGGGAAGAAGAGGAGAGTGGAAACTAGAGAACAAAGAGGAGGATGACAATCCACCTAGTAGTAGAGATGTTTCAGTGTGGACCGAAGTTGTGGCCGACCATCCATCACTTGAAGGATCAGTGCAGTTTATTTCCTCAGAGGTTGAGTTAATGCAATACTGTGTGTGTGTGTGTGTTACCGGTGGTGGATGCTCCAGGCAGGTGTGGAAATGTTTCGTCTGGTCGGGTTTCACACGTTTCAGAGGCACCCGGGACTCTCCAATTAACTCATTATGAGTCAGCTTGTCCTCGTCACACACAGTCAACCTGCACAGGAAACAGGAAACAGGAGAGGAAACAGGAGAAAAGAGAAAGGAAAAAAGGAAATATTTAAAGTGAAATTTGTTTATTAAAAATATAAAATCTTTAGTTTCCTCTGTGTCTATATGTGCGTGTCTATAGAAAACATCCATAAGAGCTGCCTGGGCCTAAGAGATTTCCTGAATCACTACTGAAGACCTGAGCTGGATGTTTGACCTCTGTATAAACAGAGAAAATGAGGAAGACACTTCCCCTGGGATTTCCACACTGACTCATTCTTTTCCTCCCTACATGGTAAAGCCTTTGTCAGCGGGCAGTGGAGGAAATCCTCCTGACGAGTTTTCATCACAAAAGGTTGTTGATGTGATGAAGATCAAACTGCAGAAGCTGTCGTTCTCACACTGAAATGTCAGATTCTGTTCAGGACGTCAGATCAAAGAACAGCACTTCTCCTCCAGCACTCACATATGGCACCAACACCAACAGTTCTTCTCCTGAACCTGGTCTTTATATTCACTACCATGCTTGTGTTTAATTGGTTCATTAGGGCTTAAAAAGAGCTATATGGAAACAGTTCTTTAGCAATCAGTGGGTCTGTTCTTACCCTTTTTAGAAAGTATGGTCATGTTTGTAAAGTGGGAAAATTTTTAGAAAGCGAGGACTTGGTGTGAGGCTTAAGGTTAGAATATGTTTAGGGTTTGCGTCCTCACAAGTATAGAGGTCTGTGTGTTTGAGTGTGGTCAGTTCGGGTTTCTGTCAGGTGAGTTTGAAGCTGTCTGTCTCCACCTGTCTCCCACCTACCACCGTCCCTGCTGTCGACTGAACTGACGGGGTTGAACACAAGAAAACAAAACTAAACAACGGAATCGTTTCTGCTTTTCAATAAACCGACTCAGGTCCAAGAGGAGGCAGCTCTTTTCTGTGTGTGGAGCCAATAACAGCGCCGTGGTTCACCAGAGACAGACTATTAAAAACAGTCACAACACAGTCAGGAGCTCTGGATTAAAGCAAACACAAACAGCATATTAAATGTGGAGGTAAACAATGTGGAGACACTGACGGGGAAAGGTCGAGAGACTGAGAGAACAAAGAACGACAGAGTGTCACCAAACAGCTGGCAGGAAATGTTCTGTATACATTTAAATACATTATATCACAGAAAATGTATTCACATGAAGCCCTGCAAAGACTGACGGAAAGAAGAGTGTTCCCTGACAGTCTGACCTCTGGAATTCATCCAGAAACCAGTTTTATTATTTATGAACTGGATCAGAATGAAATCGAGTCGTTTGAGGCAAATTTATTTAAAGGTTAGCGGTCTGCTGAGCTCCACATAAAGCCGAATTGAAAAGAACATTAATATGAGTTTGATTTGACTAATTATTTTGCCAAAACTGTACCAAAAAGAAAACATTTGTCTGCAGTGAAAAACTTAACAGTAACGTTGCATAGCTAGTAAATAGAGAATGAATGATTGGTTGAGATGGATAACTAATTATGAACTGTTATATATACATACGTATACACTGTCTTACTGCATATAGTGAATATATTTTCATTCTAGTTTTTCTATTTTCTATTATATCTTTATAATATTTTTATTTTATTATTCTTTATTGTATTTTTACACTTCTGGACTCTTTGCACTGCATTTCCCCTGTGCTGCCTTGTCAACTTGAATTTCTCCCCTGGTGATCACAACTTCTAATAATAACACTTAAATGTTAAATAGATAGCTAAAAGTAAGAAATTGTTAGCTTAACATATCGAATAACTAGTTGGAATAGTTAGCTAAAAGTATTAAATGGTGCTAAAGTACTGGATAAATTGTTCAAATAGTAAAAAATAAATTGATAAATTGTTAGAATTGTTAGCTAAAAGTATTACAAAAATTCATAAAAGACCTAAAGTAATGGTCAAAATAGTGTAGATTGCTTTAAGTAATAAACAGTTGGAATAGTTAGCTAGAAGTTTTTGCAAAAATGGTGAAAAAATGGCTGAAATGTCCAGTTTCTACCACTCCAAGTGGCAGTCGTGCAAATGTAAAAAAGTGAACCAAAGTGACCTAAACTTTTAGAATTAAATTGTATGAAATAATATGTCCTGTTGCCAAGTTGTATCTTAAGTTCGTCCTATTCACTGCAGCAATGTTTCCACGTGTTGGACGGTGCTGACCTCCACAGCGTCCGTTAATTCCTGATAATGGACGCGTCTGTATTACCCGTGACATATATTACAGAGACAGACGTTTTAAATTGCTAACAGTTTCTCTTTATATCAGCCTCCGTAGACTGTAAGAGGTTGTGACCAGTCAACGTAGAGGCTGACGTGAGTCTCCTAGCAACAACCGCTCTCAGTTGTCAGTCAGTCATTGCCATGGAAACGCCCACCCTGAAGCTTGAGGCTTTTTCCACAAATATGTCCATTAACTGTTTTAGGCAGCATTGTTATAGTTCCTGTTTCCTTTTAACAGAAGTGTCAAACAGCTCTTCATCTTCACTTCAAGGTCTAAAACTGGTTCTCACTGAGACAGAAAAACAAGGACTCTCACACACAGTCAGGGCCCTCGGGATCAACCGCAAAATGTATTTTTCTCACTTTTGTTTTGAAACTGAAGAGGAGAGAAAAAGTGAAGTCTCAGAGGAACCTGGAACCTGAATGTTGGCACGAAGGTCTGAGGAGGCAGTGAAGCTCAACGTGGGGCAACCCTGCCTCTCACATTCACTGTAGATATGATTAATTAGCTTTACCAAACTTGTTTTGGAGGGAAGATAATTGCTGCCTGAAGTCAGACACACAAATGGCACAGAGATTCAAAATAAAACACCCTGCACAGACCTCCGACTGTAAAAACAGAAACCTTTTAACTACGTTGTCTATTTACCCATCAGTAGAAGCAAAACTTATCAAATAAACGAAATCTGAGCAAGTTAATAAAACCTTCTGCGCTCTAGATTTGACCTCGTATTACGGAGGTCTGATCTGCTAGGTCACAATACTGAGAGATCAAGACTTCACTACAAAATTGACCTTAACTCGCAGAGTTCTGAACCGATTTTCATGCGATTTCGTTTATTTTAAAGGTGAGAAATTTAACCTGATACTGGTTGGAATTATTTCAGTCACTGATAATCAGCTCGGTGCCAGAACATAAACCGGCTGAATAGCCACAACTTCCACTGGGACATCCAGACTCTGATCTATGAACAGCCTACATTAAGTGTAAATTATTTAGAATTTCAGCTTTTATCTGTTTCTCTAAATATGTATATTTATATTATATTGTTATATTTCTATATCTATTATATTGTTATAAAGCTGCTTGGTTGCTGGATTTTGTGAAAAGGGAAATTTGTCTACGGGATACATTTAATTGAACAGTTTTTGTTGCCAGTTTCCTGTTAGACAGTAATTTGAACCATCTGTTGATATTTATGCACCAGCTCACACACACTGGTGAACATGTCTTTACTGTTTTCATTCTGTATGTGTTGCTCTCACTAGTAGTGGCTGTTTTTTGGTTATTAGTGTCTGTTTTAAATATTTTGTCTGTTTGTACGTCCAAACTGCAGCATTTTTCCAAACAATGACTCTTGACTGTCTTGTGGCATAGAGCTAATGACCTCCACCCCCAGTAACTGAAGTAATTCCAGTATCAGGTTCAATTTCTCACCAAAATTCATGGCAATCAGTTCAGAAGTAAACGAATCACAGCTGATTTTGTACTGAAGTCTGAACCACTCAGTGTTAATAACTAGCAGATCTGACCTCCGCAATATGGCAACACACAAATGCAGGTCAAATCAAGAAAGCAGTATCTACGTTTCTATGCTTCATACCTAACCGAGAGCATTACTTTAACTTGCTCAGATTTGGTTTATTTGGTCATTTCTGTGTCAATGTGGGGTCTGTGCAGGGTATTTTATTTTGGAAATTGGCTGGAATCTCCATGCCGTTTCTGTGTCTGATTTCCTGCCAGCTCGATCTGAGGCTACCTCGGGTCTGACAACAATCTAGCTTACAATCAACACAAAGATCACTCAGTTGTCTCTGCTTTTACTCCCTTGGTGTCCAAATTTGGTACTGAATGTAAAGCCTTTTTTTGATACTCGGTAGTATTTATGAAATTTGGTTAGTGCCATAAAAGTATCACAATCAATATGAAACACACTGCTGTGCTTCTGGTGGAATCATAAGCATTGTCTGGAACGGCAGCAATCAGCTCTAATTTATTTACAACTGTGAGCAACAAACATTTGTGAAACCTGATGCAATCTGTATGTAAGCAGTGCTCGCTAACATCCCCCAAGGAGGCAACATATGGAAGCATATGACCACAAAAGACTCGAGAGAACACAAAACCAACATTGAGCGCTACTTGGTCTGCAAGACCCAACTGATCCCCGTACCATCGCCTAGTTTCTGAGAGCAGCATTCAGCTCAGAAGTGACAATGAGCCTCATTCATTCATGTTTTCCTCAATGTTTTAAATAATTTTCTCTGTCCGTCAGCTTTAATGACAAGTTGAGATTTAGGAACCATTACTGGGTCTCTGCCAGAGGATCTCCAGCAGCCATCAGGCTCATCGGGAGTCACAGATACAGACAGGATTTCCACCATTCAAGGCTTTAATAACAACAAACTTTTAAAAATCAATCACAACCTCGCAGGTAACCAGTGAAGTGCAGATCGGTGTGATATTCTTTCAGAATGAGTTAAAAGCCTGACAGCAGAGTTTTGTATCAGCTGCAGTCTTTGGATGTTTCACCTGCTGACATCAGAATAAAGTGGAGGAGATAAAAACATGAGTGAGCTTTTCTAGATCTGCAGATGAAAGGAACAACCTGATCTTGCTTCAGTGTCACAGTTGGATGAAGGACTACAGCACTTTAGTCACCTCATCATCAAAGAACTCAAATAACACACCCAGGTTACTGCCTCTATTTTAACATTATTAGATAAGACACCCAGAAGAGTAGAGAGATTGTTAATGCTCCTCCTGCTGAAGATTCATTCTAATTATTTCTGATTTGGAGTTATTTTTAGACATGCAAATCTTAATTTCAACAAGGCAGGACTTAATACAGGATAAATTGGTGGTATCAGGCTTTATTGGGACATACTGTGGTGTATCATCTGCATAGTAATGAAAATCAATATTATGCCTATGCATCATTTGCCCCAAAGGATAGCATGTACAGATGAGACAAATTAAAGGAAAAACCTGAATGAATGAGTGGAGAAACATGACAAATGACTAAACTGTCTGTCAATGAGAACAGTCTTAGTCGACCCCCCCAATGTTAACTCCATTCAGGATCTGCATCTTATCACTGGGATGGGAGTATGAGGGACTGTTGCAAGATGGACCTTTTCTCTTGTAACACAGCGCTGCTGCATGTACTAACACACTGTGGTCCAAACACTGAGCTGAAGACAAAGAGAATTAAAATGTCACTATTGGTGACCTTGAACAGAGATGTGTATCAGACTGAAATGTATTAAAAATGTGATTATTGATCATAAAAGAAATGAAATAATCAAGTAAAGGTTCTGAATACGTTTCCACTGCTGATTATTATCCTTCACAGCGATCGTTATACAGACGATGCTGCTCGGCCAGTGTTGCACACTCTTTCTTACATTTCCCTTAGAGGTTTGTTCACAATTACACGCTGGCTTTGCTACATGTTTAGTTTAGATTAAATGTTTGCTCCCGGACTTCGGTAATTAAAGGCTTTCCGCTCTGTTATTTCACACTTCTTTCGATTACGGACACGCTCCTCGGGTTGCACCCCCCGTCTGTGCTTTCAATGGTGGAAACATTAATTCATCATTAAAGGGTGGAAAACACATCGACATGTGCCAAGCTTCTTTTCTGACTGCATGCTGGGTGCAGCATGTGGGAAAAACCCCCCATACCAGACTCTTTGAAAAAAGAGCTGATTATGTTGCACTTCAGTCCGAGCTGATGGCTGTTTATTGCTGGTGTTTACAAGAGAGAACAGAGGAGGAAACAGTAAAAAGATCACTCGGGCTCATGTTATGTTCCAGTTTTCACACAGCAGCTCTCTGCTCTGACAGTTAAATTAATTAAAGATGACAACTGAGCTTCATATCTGAATGTCAAGATGTCCCTGCTCTTGATTAATGGCTGTAAGTGTAATCAGTCCGAAATGAGATCCGATGAAACCGGCAATGAACCACACACGCTCACACACACACA